GATAATAAATGTGTAATATGCTAATTAGACCAGATGTCCTTCCAGGCGACCTTCTGGACAAAGCTGGGGCTGCGAGGGAAGCCCAGGTCCCGGGTGCCTGCTGGTGGCCAGAGGGAAGCCTGGGTCCCGGGTGCCTGCCGGCAGTTGGAGGGAGGCACGGGTCGGGTGCCAGAGGGAAGCCAGTGCTGGCAGCTGGGAGTAGAAAGGCCTACTCTTGCACAAATTTCCTGCATCAGGCCTCTAGTCTCTAATATTTTCCCATCCTTTTTATTTCTTGGCTAGAGGCCTGGTGCATGAAATTTGTGCATGGAGGGGGGTTCCCTCAGCACAGCCTGCACCCACTCCAATCTGGGACCCTTTGGGGGGTGTCCGACCGCCGGTTTAGGCGAAATCCCTAAGGACTCACCTGCCTGCCTGCCTGCCTGATTGCCCCTAACTGCCCTCCCCTGCTGGCCTAATCAAGCCCCCAACTGTTTTCCCCTGCTGGCCTGATTTCACCCCCAACTGCCTCTGCCTGCCTGATCACCCTTAACTGCTCTCCCCTGCTGTCCTGATCTCGCCCTCGCCCCCAACTGCCCTTCCCTGACAGCCCGGTTGCCAACTGCCCTCCCCTGCTGGCCTGATCTCGCCTGTAACTGCTCTCCCCTGCTGTCCTGATCTCGCCCTCGCCCCCAACTGCCCTCCTTTGCTGGCCAATTTGGTTCTTATTGGTCAGCTCCTATGCCAGTCAGTATATCTGGGCCTATCAACAGGGCTTGATCAGAAAGGCGGGGCTGATCAGCAGCCCTGGTGGAGGCCTGGAGAGAAATGGAGGCACGGCTGTTGGCCAGGCCAGGAGAGAAAGAGAGGCAAGTTCTGATTAATGGCTGCCACAGAGGCTACAGATCAGACACTGCCTCTCTCTCTGCAGGCCTCTCTCTGGGCCTGATCCGCAGCCCCCTAGGCCTGTGGTCGGCAAACTGTGGCTCTCGAGCCACATGCGGCTCTTTGGCCCCTTGATTGTGGCTCTTCCTAAGCCTTAGGAGTACCCTAATTAAGTTAATAACAATGTACCTACCTATATAGTTTAAAAAATTTGGCCCTCAAAAGAAATTTCAATCGTTGTACTGTTGATATTTGGCTCT